GATAGTTGGACAAAGTGGGGATGGTGGTGACATGGTGCCGCTCGGACGAAGTCTGGAAGACTTGGGAATCCGAGATCCGTGCTCATAATACGATATGTTTATATAGGGCGCATAACTCAGCAGCTCCCGTGCTTGTGGTCTGGAGAGGCTTTAGCTGTTTGCTTGCTCGAGAACGTGCGCTGCGGATACCTTCTATCAGCACATGGCGGATCGCCCGGACTGCCGAGGCGGCGGCAGCATCAAGCCGTCACTAGAAACCCGCGCCGCGCGGAGACCCCAGAGGATTGGCAGAAATGCAAAGGACGCGACTCAGGGTTGCAAATCGCAATGTACTGAAACTTACTTCGAAGCTGATTGAACTTATCTTTCGCTGAAGACGAGGCTGGACTTGAGCGCCCGCACGTCATCGTGCTTCTGCGTAGGATCTCATGCCCCACTAGCTCGCATCCATAAACTCTCGGCTAACGATACCACCTAAGCTTCGCAGTTCGACAGTCTTAAGCTATACAGTGTATACCAGGCATTAGTATATTACCCTCTGTGACTACCGGGGGCATCGCGGTAGCTGTGGCTGTGTGAGGCCATTCGGAGCTTACGGATCGGGCCTACCCAGGTACATTTCCTTGCGCCAGTCTTCGTTCTTGTACATAAATTGCACGTCGTCATCAGTTACTCCTATTCTTCGAGGTGCTCTCTACCCCTCTCAATCTCTATCTGATCTGTTTGCAATATGAAACCTCTTATATTTACCATACAATCTCTTCTCGTTTCTTCAGTAGCGGCTATCTGGCCGATACCCGTCTCTCACGAGCACGGCGATACTGTTCTTTTCATCTCCAAAGATGTACCTTTCTACTGGTACGAACCTGGCGCAAGAAATGTAGGGTCGAACATACATCAAACTCCCTTTCTCTTTGCATCAAATTCTAACAGCACTCCCATTGTACAGGACAGCAGCCAGCTCAATTTGCGCAAGAGTTACACGGAACCAGTGCTTAGCGAAGCATCCAAGAACTCAACCCAGGAAGGCGTTACAAGCGACGATATAATTGAGTACGCTATCGGTTCTACGTGGCAAACAGTTTTCAACAACAACTTGTACCCATGGAAATTCCACCCTCGGGACTGGGATGAGCCGTCCCCAAGCGCGTCAAACACAACATACGTCTCTCGTGTCGATGTCAAACTGCTCAAAGCTGATCAGCCGGATGTCGCCAAGTCTCTCGCTGGAGAGGTCGACGAATCCTACAGCTTGACTTTAACAGAGCAGGGTGTTGCAAGCATCAGCGCGAACACTAGCATCGGAATAGCACGAGGCTTGACGACATTCACACAGCTCTTCTATGCACACTCGAACAAGCAGGATGTGTACACACTTTCGGCGCCTGTGCAGATATTCGACAGTCCGAAGTTCCAGCACCGTGGTATTAATCTCGACACCTCACGAAACTACTTCTCTACGGCCGACGTCAAGCGACAAATCGAGGCGGCTGCTTACAACAAGATGAATCGGTTCCATCTCCACGTAACGGATAGTCAGTCCTGGCCTTTGGAGATACCCTCCATGCCCGAACTCTCCGCGAAAGGAGCGTACCGTCCGGACTTGGTCTACACAGTAAACGACTTCAAGGACTTCCAACGCTACGCAGCGATTCAGGGCGTGCAGATGATCACCGAAATTGACATGCCAGGTCATACTTCAAGCATACACCGTAGCTTCCCTGACCTAATAGCAGCATTTGAGCAACAGCCAGATTGGAACACCTACGCCGCCCAGCCGCCAACCGGCACACTGAAGCTCAATTCCACTGCCGTCTACGACTTCGTCGAAAAGCTATTCAACGACTTGCTACCAAGGGTATTGCCGTACTCAGCGTACTACCACACCGGCGGCGACGAAGTAAACCGAAATGCGTACTTACTCGATGATACTGTCAGGAGCAACGATTCGGCCGTCCTGCAACCTCTTATGCAAATATTCGTCGATAGAGCTCATGACCAGGTACGCGCCGCAGGGCTCACACCTGTTGTATGGGAAGAAATGCTGTTAGAGTGGAACTTGACACTCGGCTCCGACGTGATTGTGCAGTCGTGGCAGAGTGACGAAGCAGTTGCACAAATCACCGCAGCAGGACACAAAGCCTTGGTTGGAAACTACAATTATTGGGTAAGTGAGGCTTCTTTTACAACTACTATAGATAACGACATTTTCTCGTCCACTCTCTTCTCTTCCAACAAATGATAGATCGCGCATACTAATAGATGATAAAAGTACCTCGATTGCGGCAAAGGCCAGTGGCTCAATTTTGATCCTTCGGTCAGCGCCAATTACTGGCCTTACCAGGACTACTGCGCTCCTTTCCATAACTGGCGTCTTATCTACTCGTACGATCCTTTGTCTGGCGTTCCAGCCGAGAACCAGCATCTCGTATTAGGCGGTGAAGCGCATATGTGGGCCGAACAAACCGACCCTGTCAATGTTGATCGCATGATTTGGCCTCGTGCGGCTGCGGCTGCGGAGGTGCTCTGGTCGGGAGCCAAGGACGGGCAGGGGCAGAATAGGAGTCAGATTGATGCAGCGCCTAGGCTGAGTGAGATGAGGGAGAGATTGGTGGCGAAAGGGATTGGTGCTGAGCCGATCCAGATGCCATATTGTACTATGGAGGGGAACGTTTGTCAATTAGGGTTTACTGGGTGAGGCGGAGTGTGGAATATTGAAGGGAGTATAGTACTAAGGAACTCGTTTGTCCTCCTGATGTCACTACTGAAGTAGATGCAACAAACAAGCATGTATTTACGGTATCTGCTCCAGCAGCGACATCATTGGGATAAACAAGCCCCCTCGCAATGGGTAACGAATTGAATCATCGGATTGCATCATATATATTCCTCTCCGCGTTTCCTCAACGCCAAGCGCCCTCAGAGTCCTCACAACCATGATACTGGGTACGTTATCAGAATTCCATGGCATCAGCACCCTCCTCCCTCTCCCTCTTGAGCGCTGGTTTTTCCTCATCCACTAAGCCAGCAACGAATCGCCTGAAGTAATCTACATATGGCTTCAGGCTTGTCTTCTCCCAATCCTGCATCTTCTTATCCGTTTCTTCGCCTGACCAATCATCGATTTCCTGAAGCAATTGAGTGACTGTAGGTACACTCAACGGATCGAATTCTTCCACCTTCGTCGTGTCGATCGGGACACAGACACGACCTGTTCCAGGATGGATTACGAATGGGGATTTGAGCAAATGATTTAGCTTCTTGGAGACTTCGGCATCGAGACGGGGGTATGTGTATTCTAAGATGATGTCTTGTTTGGCTTCGCGAAGGTCCTTGGGTGACTTTGACAAGGCACCGGATTTTGCCAACGCGTCGATGTCGGCCCATTTCGATGCGCTAGGGCGGGAGGGCGCAGAGTCCCACTTCTTCTGCAATGCAGCCTTCAGGGTAGGGTCTGGGATGAGGTTGAGAAGGTGTGCGGCCTTTTCTTCTGTTGCCCACGGATCTTGTTCAGCAAGAATGGTGGTTTGGAAGTGTTCTTTCAGGATGTCCAGACTACGCTCTAGATGGGGGTGTAGTGGTCGCCATGCATGTACTCTTTTGCCGCCTTGATCTCCTCCCTTGAGCAACTCGAGATAGCTGGCCACTGAGCGGCGCTTCTGGTCGTCCATTTCTCGTGCACGCTTGTCACAAACCCAAGCGTGGGCTCCTCGACGACCGGAGTACACCCAGAGAATGTGTTTGAACCCAAAGTCTTCCCGTAAAGCAACGTCGATGGTCTTGATGGCCATTGTGATGAAGCCCCAGCACTTCAGACAAATGTTCGCACCCGTGCAACATGTCCTGATATCATCGTAATCCGTCATATCGATATCGAACACCAACTCTTTCATCAACGGGCGGAATGAGCTCGCTTTCCGCAGTGTCTTCCTGTCTCGCGGGTTCGTGCTGTACATGGGACCGATTTCGAAACGCGAGGGCAGCATGTTTATGCATTGCTTCCGTAGTAGATCGGCTGTTGGGAACGATTGGTATCGTAGGTATGCGTCGTTGGGTAGGGTGAAGGCGAATTCGCGGTGTGCAAAGTCATTGGTAGGTGTTGCGGAATGGTTCAGCCATTGGAAGAGAGGGCGGAAAGGGAACAGACGTTGGTAGAAGGCACGCATGACGTCTGGATCGGAGAATGATGATTTGGATGTGATCTTGCTATATCGATATCAGCGGTGGCCATGGATGTAACACTTCGACAGGTGGGGCGTACATTGGTGCGGGTTGTGAGGCATCCTCTTGCGACGTGGGTGCCGGCGCACTCGAAGCAAATTCTTCGTCTGAATCTTCATCGTCGAAGAGCTCTTCGAGGCTTGCTTTGGACTTGTCTGCCGCGGCAGGCGTGGGTGCGTCGTCCATTGCGACATCTTGCGTCTCTGGTTCTATTTTAATAGCGTCGCCTTGGGACGGCGCCGCTGAGGACTCCTCTGCAGGCGTAGACTCTGGCGTAGTTGAATGTGGCATCTCGGAAGTCATGCGATTAGATTTCGGCGTATATGTGGTGAGGACGCGTACGCTGGCAATGAAAGAGTTGGTCGACGCGTTCGCGTATAGTGGCCGCGGGCGCGTTCGAGGTGTAGGGGTACCCTTGTCTAGTGTCCCCCATTGCTTCCTCATTTGGGTCACCCTCCCTCGTCATATCGCGTCAACTTCCAAGCAAACATTCTCCACCTTGCTCAAACCTCAGGGCATGAACCCCGACAACAAGAACTGTTCCGCGACTGATGGCGGAGGAGGAGGACACTGTGTCCGGCGAAGGGTGGATATCGGATGACAGCAGCTTCTATGGTGTGTACTTGATATATTCCGTACTGGGACATGTCACAGCCGCACCTGACTAACAATTGGACCAAGGTGATGAAGCTGAGCAACAACATCAACTAAGGCTATGCGAAAACTTCAAGCACGAACCTTTCTGGCATGCACATCGGAAGGATCTTAATGTGATCACGATGGCAGCCAGAGCACCAATACCACTATCTGATAAGGCGACTTCAGGTACAGAGACTGCAGTGAAAGACACCAGCTTCAACATGTCGGGTGTCGACCGCAAAGCTATGGAGCAGGAGCGACTTGCGCGATCAGGCAAACGGAAGCGAGAGCTCTCACCCATACCGTCACACGAACTGTTCAATCCTCTAGAAGGTCAGAAGGATGCATGGCAACTGGGCGAGCCTGTCGATGACTTCGTCAGACGCCTTCCTCCATATAATACAGCCATCACTACATTCCCTTGGATCTGGGCCGCTAATCCACATCGCAATCCTCGCGACAAGTCACCTTCGCCTTGTGTTGAAGACTTCACATCGCGTGGCATGGACTTACTTGAGCAGTCGCTTCAGACTCGCCGTGATATCCAGATGGAAGGGGCCAGAGGACCGAGAGGTATGGTGACTAAACAGCTCAATCAAGAGAGTAAGGCTCTACAGGGACGGATTTCAAGCCTTGCAAACGAGACAAACGTTCTTTCCGGAAAGGTATAATCAGCTGGATAATCCGTGCAACCGCCCACTCGTATGACTGACCCAGACTAGTGGATGTTATTCCCGAAATCAGTAGACGTTACACGGGTTTGGAAGCAAGTCGTTGCAAACGTGATTGACAATCGACTTGGTTGTACCTGTAAGGTCGCTACCGACGATGGCAAAGAAGAGCGACTGAGTGAGTTCCATTTGTAATCTGCAGTGCACAGGTACTGACTCAGAAATACCAGTCTGTGTATACACAAAGGACTTCCAGGACGCTGACGACGTATTGCGAGTACTCCATGAACTTGAAAACATGGGTCTCCTGAACGGTGGCAGAACCATCTATTACAAACCAGATGCATACACTTATCTGAATCTCGTCCGCGATACAGCCGTAGAATATGGCCTACAAGCGAGTCTTTACAACTCTCGGTCTTTGTTGGCGGCTAACAAGGTGCCGAAGTCAGCATTGCTGGCCCAGAAGAAGCAGTCGACCCTGAGCGGTTTTCTTTAAGTGGGCATTGACGGCTATAGTGCTACTTGGGGATGAGATCAACAGCAACAACCAACTAAGGGATGTTGGAGAAGATACAAGTTTTACGTACTCACTCTAAGGTGTGTTTCAATTGCAGCACAATATCCAGTAATAAATCTCATCACGCTGTTCTCACCCGTAGCATCGTCACCGCGATTGGTGGCGGCTACGTCCTCTGGTCGGTCTCAAAAAGGCTGTTCACAGACAAACAAGTACGCGTGAGGCATGCGGTTATACCTGTCGACGCTGATCTCCGAGCCGCTCCCGGAAGCAACAGCGCATTTGATATGCCAACGAGACTGCAACTAAGACCGTTGCGTACCATGCTGAGCAATATACCCTTCAACCACTCGAAGCAAACGTAAGCAAAATTCATCTCCGGTGTTGCAGCGCAGCTGCATGGTCTTTACCGCTACACTGAATAGCCCGTAGGCGCATGCAGCCAATGTAGAGGCGTTTCGGCGCATCGTGTCTGCAAAGTCTACTGGCCGCCAGAGCCAGTTGAGAGTAGTTGTCGTTCTGCGACGTACGTGGTGTTGGCGCGCTACTGAAAATTCCAGAACCCGTGAGGCGTCGAGTTTCCGTTACTCGATAGTTACCTTGAGGACAGGGCTTCGACCGCCGTAGTTCGCCGCTTGCGGTGGACGACTTCTACCGACGATCACAACATGTCAGAATATCGGAACACTCCGAAACCACATTTTGGCCATCTCTTCACTTTTCTACATATTCGCGTCTTTCGAGATTCCGATACGGTGTCTGAGTATGTTCATCCTTCTATAAAAGAGGTAGGCGGGACAACGGATGCAGAAAAGACCCGGGCGCATTCTGGTTCTCGGCTGATTATATGGCCATCGGCCAGCCCCGAGAATTGCAAGGGCGTCCATATTGGACTAGCCTGGCTGGTATCAGTTCCGGCATATTGTGTTTCCCTTACTCGATTTCAATCGAGTAATGGGAAGATCGTGTTGGGAGGTACGCTGGCTGACATACGTTTAGCTTCTCCGGACAGAACCGGGCCTTACTCCGATATCCTCAGAACTCGCACCTCTTGTCCACCAACGAGCATCACGACATCAACAGTCCTTCTTACCTAACCTTCAGAATGGAATCTCCAGGGAAGCAGTGAATAATATATGGTAGACGTTCGAGATCCCAGAGGTATGATGCTCAGCCGTTGGCCCTGCGTTAGTTCGGGGGCTCTAATCGCGCGATCTACTGTGCGCCTATCGCATGCAGCTAAATCCTTGCAGCTGCTTATCAGTGACATACGCACGGTCCCCCAACACCATCTAAGACGTGCAGCAACAGGGTGAGGAAGTTTGCCGATTTCAACATTTGACCAGGTTCTCAAGATAATTTTTCATAAGCATATATGGCTGAGCAAAGCAGTTTTCATTACGTGCGATTTGCACAGCAGAGATAGTGTGTTACCGATCATGAGAGTAGAACGCAGCACCATGGCCAACAGACTCGTATCTACACTAGATCGACCAACGGGAGACAGGGTCGAGATGCATGGCTAAGGCGGCCACGATAGCCTACCTCCACACTAGTTACTCGATAGAATCGAGCAACGTGTATTTCAGGGTTCGCCGATGCTCCACAGTCCCCTGACGCCATGTTAGCCAGTCCCAGATTCTGGCTACAATGCTCCGAGAATATCTTTGGTCTGGCCCCTACCAACGGGTAGATAAGAGGCTGTACCCCAGGTTTTGGCGTTTTTGGTAATCAGTCACCCAAAGAATTTCTTCCGTTACACGTCTTCAGTGTTTGAAATTACCACTTCCCTTTTTCTCTACGAGAGCCGAACCACATTCCTCTTTGACAGTTGTTAGGCGCAACACCAAACGTGCCTTATCAACGCTTATCTGCAGCTCACCCGGAAACGCCCACGCCCTCTTCCCCGCGTTTGCCGAGTTCGGGGCTTGTTACTGTATATAGCTCTTGCTGTTAGCACGGACTTGAGCACTTGAGCACTGCTTTACCTGGTCTTTTACGTCCTTCTCGTCTTCTCGCAGTCAAAAACATATACAACTTGTCATCATGGCTCCACACGCAACCACACCTCCACCTGTTTCGCACGAGCAACCCGTTCAAGCTATCACAGTTCTTGCTTCCTCGAGAGCAGTCGTTGCTGGTCGGTTGACTGAGGCTACCATCGTTGTATCAAACCATACAGGGAAGATCACATCCATCTTCCATTCAGTACTTCCCCCTACAGACTTCCCCGAAGGCACATCGTATACAGACTACTCGCCAAATATCCTACTACCTGGTCTTGTTGATGCTCATGTCCACCTCAACGAGCCTGGCCGAACGGAGTGGGAAGGCTTCTGGACTGGTACCCGTGCTGCAGCATTCGGTGGTGTCACAACTGTCATTGACATGCCTCTGAACGCTATCCCTCCTACGACGACCGTTGAGAATCTCAAGATCAAATGCGAGGCATCACAAGGGAAATGCTGGGTCGATGTTGGCTTCTATGGAGGTGTCATCCCTGGTAACTCGGGTGATCTGAAAGCTCTAGTCAAGGAGGGTGTTCGTGGCTTCAAGGGCTTCTTGTGCGACAGTGGCGTAAGTACCTATACCTCAATATTCCAAAAACACGTGACACTAACATATGTATAGGTCGAAGAGTTCCCTGCCGTTTCATCTGTAGACATCGAAAAGGCCCTCCTCGAACTCAAAGACTCAGCAACAACACTAATGTTCCACGCCGAAATGATCCCACCCATCTCCGACTCTGTAGGCGACGACATCCAACGTTCTAACCCCCCTCTTGCCCCTAAAGGCCCTCTAACCTCCTACGACACATTCCTCCAATCCCGCCCCCCATCATTCGAGATCTGCGCCGTAGCCGAAATTCTCTCATTAGCGCATCTCGCTCCTGAGCTCCAACTCCACATCGTCCATCTCTCTGCCATAGAAGCCATCCCCATGCTACGCAAAGCACGTGCCGATGGCATAAAAATCACAGCAGAGACTTGTTTCCACTACCTTGCCCTTGCGGCAGAAGGTATTCAAGAAGGCGACACACGACACAAGTGCTGCCCGCCCATCCGTTCCCAATCGAACCAAGACGGTCTGTGGGAGGAACTTCTCCAAGACACAGCTGATGGCGTCATTCAAACAGTCGTCTCAGACCACTCTCCTTGCACCCCAGAGATCAAACTCCTTCCCTCACATCTTGCGCCAAAGAAGCCGTCTCCTCGCAAGGAGGGTCACGCGAAAGACTGTGATTCGTGCGAGAGCAGCGAGGGCGAGATGGAAGGACCGGAAGAGAAGGGTGACTTCTTCGGCGCCTGGGGCGGCATCTCGAGTGTGGGGCTCGGCCTACCCATTCTATGGACCGAAGGCACAAAGCGCAACCCTGACTTCAGTGTTGAGGAGATTGTTCGCTGGTGCTGCAAAAACACGGCGAAGCAAGTTGGCCTTGAGAAGAGCAAGGGTGATATTGGTGTGGGCTTTGATGCTGATATCGTTGTTTTTGACGATGAAGCCGAGTTCTTGGTCGAGCCAAACACCATGCTGTTCCGTAACAAGGTCTCACCATACGAGAACAAGACGCTCAAGGGTGTTGTAAGGGAGACTTGGCTACGTGGCCAGCGTGTCTTCACGAGGGCAGAGGGATTTCAAGAGAAATCTGGTCCACAGGGCAAGTTGCTGCTTGAACCAAGGAAAATGGACGCTTAGGTTAAGAAGAATGGCTGAAGGGTAGTCTGTTCAATTTCTCGTTGTCGTTATGGGAAGCATGGTGCATACATATACATGGGACACTGCATACAGCACGCAGTGCTTGACATCTCTTTTCTCTTTATTGCATAGAAGGCGTTTTACTATTGAGGGTATGCCAGAACAAATCCTTCATGATTCCACATATTTTCAATTCGAAACAAGCTGAAAGAAGACTACTGCAATTCTTCCCTGTGAACTCCATGTCACACAACACCAGCTAAGCTAGCAACAAGCGGTGTACCCTGAAATGTCCCACGTCCCGACAAGCACGAATATACTGTGAATGACAGCCCACTTCCCATGCATAGTATAACACAAACCTTCCATCTCTTGCATATGTATGTCTTGAAATGAGACCAAGCCACCCGAAAAGATGATTTACAAATACTTCTTGGGAGCACCACCACGCCTCTTCTTGTACACAATATAAGCACCCACAATCATAATTTGAACAGCGACCGCAATGAAAAAGAATGTAGTCATGCTGGGTCCACTCTTTGTGACAACTGTGATGTTGCGTTAGCTTAATCCCTCTTTCGAATCGTACGAGCCCAGAGTTCTTTACTTACCGTCACCCATCATGCCGGGTAAGCTCTGCATGACATTGCCGTGGTTCCTGTCCAGCGCGAGATGGATCTGGCTCATGAAGTCCTTGAAGTCCTTGTTCTCCAAGTCTCGCAGTATCTGCATGGTTGTTCGCTCGACCTTTTCTACGTTGCGAATCGTGGCAGCGCCGCGGTCGTCGATGGGTACGATGCGGTGCATGAGCTCGTTCCAGCGCTCGTCGTTCTGCTTTTGGATTCTCTCGACCGTCTCAGCGATTTCGAAGACGCGGTTGTTGATGATCTGGATACGGTTGTGGAGGTCGGCAAACTGGTCTTGCTGCGAGCGGATGTTGCCTGCCAGGACGTCTTCGAGCATCTTTGGGATGTCGTTCTGCGAGGTGGAGGAGCCGTAGTTTTGTTGTGCTTGGTTCTGCTTGTGCGTCTGCTGCTCGTGACCTTGTTGGACAGCACGATCCTGCTGCTGCTGGTGGTTTTGCTGGGAGTTGATGTAGTCCTTCTTCTTCAAGTTGGGCTCTTCGCGCGCGTAGGAGTTGGTAGTAGACACGATAAACTTGTGAACTTCGAAAGAGTCGGGGTTCTCGGCGGAGGAGGCGCTTACACCGAAGTAGTAGCCTTCAGGAAGTGCAACCTAGAAAGACAGTCAGTGACGTGTATCTTGGGGGACGGAGGATAGAAGCATACCTTATCGGTCTTGAAGCATGTCTGCCCGTCTACAATGACCTCGAGGAAGCCCTCTGCGTGATGCAGCTTGATGGGGGTAAGTTCTCCACGGTTCCTGTATGCGTAGTCGCATTTACCAAAGGCCAGCGTGTCTGGATCAGGGTGAGACCTAATGTCCTTGGTTCCATCATTCAAGAAACCGCGGACAGAGCCTCCGTGCCCTTCGTACTGGTCTACGAGCAGTACTAGACCATCGAACTTGGGCGCGGTGAACACGCTCGCTGGCGTCTCATGCGCTTGTGAGTCCCTCACATACCACATCTGGAGATTACCACCTCCACGCTCCATACCAGTCGCTCTAAAGTCCAACTCAGCTGTCCAATCGCCTTTGTGGTGTAGCGGGTCCTGAGCCCATATTGAACCGCGCTTGCCTCCTGGGTAAGGGGGTGTAAGGATAACTCTGTCGGAGAGTACCTGCGGCACATAGTCGTCTGCGCCCTGAATGACAAAGTGGGGAACGGAACGAAGATCGGGCGATATGTAAACACCTGCTTTCTGGCCAAAGCTTAGGTTGTCTATGACATACTGGGCGTATGCTGGGGAGAGAGCGAGGGTGGACCAGGCAATGGTTCGCAGCGATTGCGATGTGATGTGCATGTTGGTGGGGCGCGACGCGCTGCTCGTGTCGACGATGAAGTTCGAGTCTGGTAGCGATTGATGGTTCGACTATGTGCAGAAGTAGTCTTGATCTACCTGAAGTCCTGTTAGGGGTTGCCAAGTTAGGTCCATGATATCGATCGAACGCACCTCCTGCTTGACCACTAGTTCACCTGCGTCGCAATGCTCCACGCGACAAGCGTAATACAATTAGTCGGGATAGAAAGAAACAACCGGGTATCACGAAACGATGACAATGCACAAGAAGAGAAGAACTACCACCAGATGGGCAGGTACGCAACTTAATTAGAGATGGAGGAGCTTATGGACAGCTGTGCTTAAGACGGGACTACCTATGACATTGATTGGGTGGTCTATGCGCGGACATACTGTGACAACTGTAAGAGCCACCGTCTAACATGAGACGTCAAGCCCACGAAGATAGTCGACCTGTGGATACAGAGACGGCGAAATGTTTCAAGCGATGCACAAAGAACCGAGAATAGAGTCGCAAAAGGGTCTACTGTGCGAGAAACAGCGATGCGGAGGTTTGGCTTGGCGGTTGCTCTGCGTCGGGGATTGTGATTCGCCGGCTACCATTTTCTCCATCGTCGTCTACCTCATCACCGAGCTCTCATCCGCCATCGTCGCCGCCTAGACGTCTCACGCACCCCACGCCAGCCCCTCACCTTTACCGCCAACATGTCTGCACCGGATCCAAAGGAAGCCTGGTCGCGCATCCAGAATGAACTCACACGACGAAGCGCTCGATTCGGCGGCGCGGGCGGCGGCGGACCACCGAAGGGTGTCTTTGGAGGAATCGGAGGGCTGATACTCATCGGTGGCGGAATATGGATGGCCAACAACGCCCTGTTCAACGGTAAGCCCTGCTTTGTCGAGGCCTCTAATTAGGCACTTCCGACTTTCCATGAGCCCGAATCGTACTAACTCACCACAGTCGATGGTGGCCACCGAGCAATCAAGTATACCCGAGTAGGCGGCGTTCAGAAGGAAATCTACAGCGAAGGAACCCACTTCCGAATTCCATGGTTCGAGACTCCCATCACCTACGACGTGCGCGCCAAACCACGAAACGTCGCTTCCCTTACCGGCACCAAGGACTTGCAGATGGTCAATATAACCTGCCGTGTACTCTCAAGACCGCGGGTGGAGTCTTTACCGCAGATCTACAGGACACTGGGTACCGACTACGATGAGCGCGTCCTGCCATCCATCGTCAACGAGGTCCTCAAGAGCGTGGTGGCGCAATTCAATGCTAGTCAACTCATCACACAGCGTGAGAACGTCAGTAGGTTGGTACGAGACAACCTAGTCCGGAGAGCAGCGAGGTTCAACATCATGTTGGACGACGTTTCCCTGACAGTAAGCCCTCACCTATGCATCCTTCTTACCCCGCATCTTCTGACCATGCTTAGCACCTCGCCTTCTCTCCCGAGTTCACCGCCGCCGTAGAAGCCAAGCAAGTCGCTCAGCAAGAGGCCCAGCGTGCCGCTTTCGTCGTTGACAAGGCCCGCCAAGAGAAGCAAGCCACCGTCGTTCGCGCCCAGGGTGAGGCCCGCTCCGCCGAGCTGATTGGTGACGCCATCAAGAAGAGCAGGAGTTATGTCGACCTTAGGGAGTTCGAGAACGCAAGGAATATCGCACAGATCCTGCAACAGAGCAGCAATAAGGTCTACCTTGACAGCAAGGGTCTTGGTCTGGACATCAGCCAAACCTCGGCGGACAAGGAGCAGAGGGCGAACAGGAAGTAAGAGGATGTGGCGGAGAGTGTCTCCAAAGAATACTTTTCCAAAAACCAACATCGTGTATAAATATATTTGGGAAAAGCGAGGTGCAAGCGTGCAAGTGTGTAGCTTTCCACTCATGACGAATAACAACAAAGTACTCCAAACTCAAACCATGATACATTTTGAATAACTTGCTAACGCCCTCTGAGCGCAAAGTACCAAAGATAGACACAGTTAGTCGAGTATGCGATTCTAGTACAATAACAGGAGATGAGAGGACGTGTTCAAGGTGATGATATTAATGCGCAAATACTATGTAGGGGTATCTCTATGCTTCCTCCTCCAGTACGGTCTTCCTCTTCTTTTCCATGTGCTCTTCTTCTTCTTCCCCTTCATCAGTAGATTTGGTCGCGTCCACACCATCCCCACCCTCAACCTCATCGATTGCTCTCTTCCTCTTCTCAGTCCTCGTTACTTCCTCGCCAGCCGACTTCTCAGTAACGAACAGCGTACTGGCCGTCTCCTTCACATTACTAATCTGCTCGCTCACTTCCGCTTCCACCTCATCCTCTTCCTCATCGACCAGCCCCAGATCAACTGTATTCTTATCTGGATCCTCGAGCGCAAGCTGAATCTTTTCCAGTCCCATATCGTCACCCTCTAGCGTCTCACTGATCTCCGGATCTATCCACCCCTCCGTATAACTGCCTCCAAAATCAATGATCCAAAGCTCGTCGTGAGCGTCCACCATGAAGTTATCCGCTTTCGCATCACCCCATATAATGTCGTTGTCGTGAAGTAGCGATATGTACTCTGCACTCTTCTTGCTCCAAACGCGCCGCTTCTCCTCATCTACTGAAGACTTGAGCAGCTTTGTCAATGGCGTCGGTGTCTCGATGTTCTCTAGCAAGAGGCCCATTACTTCTGTCTTGCTGTTGCCCAGAGCGACGAAGCCGCGTAGGCGGGGGAACTTGATGTCGAGATTCAATTTCTCCATTTTCCGCAGGATCTGTATTTCGCGCTTCACAGAGTCGGGTTGGTCGGATACTACGGGTTTGAAAAAATATGTTTCGCTGCTCTCGTTATGCAGAACTTGACCTGGATGGGCGGGTGGAGGCATGCTGACTTCGGATTGGACGGTTAGGTCGTTTGCATTGTGCCAGGGAAGTTTGTAGTCTTGCATGTATTTTGGGACTTTCATGCGAGGTACGAGGTCTTCGATTCTGGCTTCTAGATCGGTTGTTGTTTCTAGGAGTGTTGGGGAGAGCTCTCCCTTTGCGATCTTCAAAGTGTAGAAATAGGTTGGGCCGTGGTACCATTCGTAGAGTGTTGATTCTTCTGGTTCGCGGTTCGGCGGCGCGGAGGTTTGCGTGATGTCGGAGAAGGAGGCGAGGATCCAGTTTCGCAGTTCGACGCCTGCACTGGCGGAGTCTTGGTCGGCGTCTTCTCCTGCTTCTTCGATGTTTTCTGGTGTGTATTCACCATCATCTGGTACATACTCGTCGTCGGCCGAGACGTCCACCCCGCTGTCCTTTCCCTCCGAGCCTTCTCGGTCTTTATTCTTGTTATTCTTCTTATGATGGACTTTCGCTTCTCGCTCTTCAGCTAACTCCTCCTCACGCTCCTCGGCTTCGCGGAGTGCGGAGACCAATTCGAGATACTTGTAGTAGAGAGGCTTCTCGCTGGATTTCTGGAGCGTTTTGGGATCAACAGTGACGTGGAAGCGGACATCGTTGATGAGAGCAGTTAAAGCGCAGCTATCGTCCTCGTCGTAGGAAAAGTGTAGAGTGTAGGCTTTGTTGGCAGTAGTGGTTTGAGTCATTGCTTCACGAACAATGAGATTGTAAGTAACAGACGTATTGCAAGAATGGGTAGAGATGGGCTATAATGCGAACGTCGGGAGACTACATCTATACCTTCCATGCAACAGCCCACGCCTACAATCCTACCCCTGCGCCGACATCATCGCTATGGCAGATCGCCGACCTAATCGCAAAGTAAATGCCATGCCACACTTTAGGGGGACTTCATCTGGCCCATGCATCTACATCATAGATATCGTCCTGATCTGCAGGTACGATCGAGATAGTGGAGCAATAGCATCGTCAGCAGGAGTGCTAAGTGGCTGGAAGGCACGGAAGGGTCGATAGATCCGATTTGAATCGAGTTAAGGGTATCGATCTGAAACTGTATGAAATTGACAAGGTTGGGGGGAAAGGAATCGGGATTGGCGCGTCGCGAACGCGTCCACGCGCGATGTCGTGACGTCAAAGAAAGTGCTGGGACGACTTAGCGCTTCACGTTTCTGCGACGACCATCCCCCGTACGACACCCGGTGGGCACATTTTGCTTTTGGCCAGGCCGCTCGTTGACACGCCAATCACATGCAAGTACCAAGTTTGAATGATGACATTTCACCATGATGTGTTTTGAATTGAGAAGACGTCCAACATTGTCTCATTGCTACAGAGGCGCTCATCTATCGTGGTGGCGCATCGCTAGCAGACATGCTGCACTCATTCTGACGTTAAACGTCGTGAGATAACCTAACCGTATACGCCTTTTGGAAAAAAAAACAATCCTGCCTGCGAAAGGAGCGTGATCCCACGTCTTGCGGCCCCTACAATGAATAAAAGAACAGAAGCGAAACATCGTCCTCTCGTAAGAATAATCTCAGATCCTGTCCAAGCCCGCTCAAAATGCGAAAATCGAAAGCAACGCGTTGAAACATCTTCCAGAGATCTTGCGAACGCCAAGTCATTATACGTTCGTAATCCATAACAGTTATCATACAGTCTCGCAGTCGAGTCGTGACGTCGGGTAAGAAGATTTACACAGTGAAGTCCAAGAGGTCGTACGAGGAAGAGTCCAGTGAAGTGAAGTCACCCATTGCCTTCATCTCAAGATCGAACTGAGAGTACGAGCTGTCGGGCATCGTGTCAAACAGCTCATCAAGAGCGTCCTTGGACTCGATTGGCGATGTTGGTGGTGTTGTAAACTGATTTGACTGGATCGATGACCGCGATGGAGAGGAAGACACTTTCAAAGGGCTGGACTGGACTGGCTCACTGGAACCGTTGGTAGACCCGGAAGAAGCAGGCCGTACGTCAGCGGGCGACATGGGGGGTGTGTGCGAGTGTTGAGAAAGCTGTTGGAGGATGTTCATGGACGCGGTGTCACTTGGGTAGGTAGCAGATGCAAAGCTCGATTGTGCATCTTCAGCGAAAGGGCTTGATGAGGTCTCGAAGCTGGAGTATGTGTTAGCGTTGTGTGAGACGGAACATGACTGAGATACTGACCTGAAGGGATCCACTGAAGCATTCATGGAGTCGTAGCTTTGCGAATCGGAGAGAAGCTGAGCTGGCTCATACCCCTCAATCGGTGATGAGGATCGAGCCTCTGAGTATGGCGAGCCAGCCGAAGACGGTGGTGCGGATACTATCGCACGTCTCGTTCTGCTGGCCTTCTCGACGCGCTGCTCCATGTCTGGGCGGTTCTTCTTCGGGCGGCCACGCTTGGCTTGTCGTCGGACTGCATCAGGGAATCCACCGACACACATGCCACGCTGACGGTGACGTGTGAGGGCATCTTGTCGAGCAAAGCCTGCGCCGCAGGGGCACTTGTAAGGCTTGTTGCCTGAGTGGATCTTTGCGTGGCGCTTCAGGTCATGCTGTCGGACAAAGCACTTGCCGCATCCATTGCACTTGTACTGACGATCGCCAAGATGAGTTTGAACGTGGGATCGGATGTTCTCACGACGTCCGAAGACTTTGCTGCAACCTTCGTAAAGGCAGGTCCACTTGCCGGTTGTGGCATCTTGCTCGCTGATGTAGCGCGCGACTTCTTCTGGTGCAATACCAGTGTACTCATAGCTTGCGTCAACCTCAAGATCATTGAAGATCTGGGGCTGCGAGAATGAGTCCATCATGGGTAGACCGCTGATTGACATTGAAGTTTGCGATGTAGGCAGCATAGACTGTGTCTGCGAGAAAATCATCTCTTGGTGCTCTTCGATGTTCTCCAAGAAGGATTGTACGTCCCTCTGTCGTGGTGAAGATACTGGCGATGGTGACAAAGCATCGGATGTGTAGTAGGATGACGACTCGTAGCCCATATCGGCGTCCGGGTTGTCAAAGTCGAAAGTCATGGCTCTTGAGGTTGGCTCAAGGTTGATGTCACCCATAGCAGTGAAGCTTGGGTGCTGAGGAGTTGCGCTAAAAGCCTCATGACTGGGTAGCTGCGCAGGCTTTTGTGGTGTCGCAGTGGGTGTTGGGAGGATGTTAATGAAGACTTGTCCACATGAGCCATACACTGACTGTATGTGCTCGTGAAGTTCTTTCAGTTGCTGTTCAGTAGGGGGTTTAGAAGAAGAGGAAGGAGGCTGCTGGGGAGACTGCGCGCGGAGTGTCCTTCGTGGAGTCCGCGGTGTGATGGGAGAGATCTGTACTGGGGATGCCAAAAAGGATTCCTGGGGGCCCGGCTGGGGCTGTCTGTGCGAATGCGCTACTTGCATAGATTGCTGTGGTATTTGTCCTAGATTGTTAGTATTACTTACCGTACTGTCCTCCTGCTGGAAGGATGGTGTGTCGAATGGTCCTGGTTGGTGTGTGTATTCCTGGTTTGTGGCTTGTCGGGCGGCATGGATGGATTCTAGGCTGAGGCCGCGTAGATCCAAGCTCATACCGCTTCGGTTTGGTCGTCGTCGGTGTAGGTTAGCAGGTGGTGCTCGTACTGTGGGTGCGTCAAAAACAGTGGGTGTCGACAGTTGTCGGCGGTGCTGAATTCGTTGGCGCTGGATGCCGGCTGGCATGTTGTTGGACAGCATTTCGTATGCAGGTCGAGTCCGGAGTTGGTTCTCGGGAGGATGGGGAATAGTCCTATGGGTTCCGAAACTGATGTGGTGTTAGCATTTGATGTCATGTGATGGTTCGACTGCGCTGAGATGGAAGTCTCGAGTAACTTACCTCACGCAAAGCAAGCGGCGCTCCGCCGGGCGGTTGGTATCCTTATGAAATCCTCAGTACAGATGCAGTCTCCCAGTAGCCTGCTTCAAGTAAGTATGAGGCCGAGGCCTGTGCTAGTGTATATGAGTGGTGGTGGAGATGTGTTTAGTAGCAGTCGCTAAAGCAGCAGTGGATGTTTGAGATGAATAAAGAGATGTGGATGCGAGGGATGAATAGTGCTGGTGAAGTGGAGGATAAATGCGGAGGAGGAGATGACGATGTATAATACCTTACCGGGACGGGTAAACATAGAGCTCTATCTGGCGTTGCCGCCGCAACGACATGGTTACCCGAAGCCGCCCACGCTTGATGCTGCAGCTAGGCCTAGCCGGAGCTAGCGCATCGACGCAGAGCACGGGCCGCTTAGTAACGCGAGGCCCCGCCCACACGCATTTTTGCTACTTCACGATTTCGACTCCGTTTCCTCCCCACCCTTTGCATCTACGTGAGGAAAGCATCTCAGAAGAGAGGCTCAGCGTTCAAGATGCAGATCTTCGTCAAGACCCGTAAGTAGTGCTCGCCAACATCACAGCCTATGCGCCGCCATCGTCGCATCCGTCGCCTGCCAATTCGCCATCGCCATCGTAATCGTCGCACACGACATAGTAGCTAACAAATTCGCAGTCACGGGCAAGACCATCACTCTCGAGGTCGAGAGCTCCGATACCATTGACAATGTCAAGTCCAAGATCCAGGGTACGTAGCCCGACTTCGCTCCAGCAGTCTCGCCTCTAATACCTAGCAGACAAGGAGGGCATTCCCCCGGACCAGCAGCGTCTGATCTTCGCCGGAAAGCAGCTCGAGGATGGCCGCACTCTTTCGGACTACAACATCCAGAAGGAGTCCACCCTCCACTTGGTCCTCCGCCTTCGTGGTGGTATGGCCAAGAAGCGCAAGAAGAAGGTGTACACCACCCCCAAGAAGATCAAGCACAAGCGCAAGAAGACCAAGCTAGCTGTCCTCAAGTACTACAAGGTTGACGGCGATGGCAAGATCGAGCGTCTTCGCCGCGAGTGCCCCCAGCCCGAGTGCGGTGCTGGTGTCTTCATGGCCGCCATGCACAACCGCCAGTACTGCGGAAAGTGCCACCTGACCTACGTCTTCGACGAGGCCAAATAAGCGCATCGCCACTGGGGCACGCGACACGATCGATAACGAGTTACGGCATCAAGGCATATATGGGAGGAGCTGAATAGGTTTCACCACAATGTCGGACATCTAGAATCAATCAAACTTGTCATGGACTTCACACCTCGGTTACCGACCCCAAATCGTGAATGAAATGCTCAGTGCGTGTGGTGCGAGCGTCATACCAGTGATCTCCCGTGTATGCGTAGATCTTCATCTCGCGTAACTAATGTATATGCAGAGCGTCCGTGTTTCGAATACCGATACCATGGTCGCCTTGTCTTCGTGCTTCAACCTGATGAACGTTATCGCCGTAGACTTGGTTCATACATTGGACTATCATGGTCTCATTACAGCTGCAAAGCACTAGCGACTACCTAATTATGGTCATATGGAAATCAACAACCTACCGCTTAGTAAGAAGCGCAGGTTAGATCGACAATGTAGCAAAGGATAAGAGTAGTGTGGCTGCAATCAGTCGTTACTACCAGCTAACAGACGTGCACATTACTACGACTGCGCCCAACATCCCAATCATCAGGATTGAAAATGACTCTCCCGTCATCTTCACAGCTCCTCCCAGTGCAGCGTTACCACCTTGTCCTGCAATCTCTCCCTGTCCATTCTGGTTGTTGCCGTTTCCTCCTCTCCCACTCGATCCGTCATCTGGCCCATTTCCTCCAACTTGGCCACCGTCACTCCTTGCGCTTGTTTCGAGCGGGATATCCTGCATAGGCTGCCCTGGTGGATTGTTGACGCTGTTAACCTGCGTCTGAAAGTCCTCCAACGGATTCTCGATCATCGCGCAGGGCATTCGGCCTCCGTTTGCGCTGAGTGGACCGGGAGCGGGTTTCGTGGTCAATTGCGAGGCACCTGGAAAGCGCTGAATGCTGTTCGTAACACTGATAGGAAGGTTGAAGATAGTGTATCGTTCCACACCATTTAATCGGTAATTCTGGTGTATGCTGATGTTGTAATCTCCCCTCGCAGTTGAACCTTCATCCTCATTGTTATCCCCGACTAAACACTCCGGCCATTCGAAGTTGATGTGTTTGACTGTTTGGCCACTTTCCTGATCTAGTATGTCTGCGAAAGGTGGGGTGGACGTTGTCAGGTTCGATATCGTAAAGTTTTTCTGCGTGACCGTCGATGTGAGGAAGAGCGTGAAGTTGAAGACTTGTGTGAGCGGATCAGCGATGTTGCGTGGCGGTACGGGGAGTTTGCCGTCGCCTGAGACGTCGAGCGCGATGTGAAGAAAGTCGCCGCCCATAGGCGTGAAGGGCTGGGGCTTATCTTTTTGTCAGCGGGAGTATCGCGCATCCTTCGACGCCTGACGTACCGCAAGTATGATTCCTAACCCTGGCGTGAATATTCTTCCATTCACGATAGTGAACGCGCTGGTATCGGGTCCATTATTCTGTCCATTACGATTATCATTGCCATTCTGTCGTCTCTCGAGGGGATCATGATCCGGCGACCACGTTCCCAGCATCTGTGCATTGATGACATTGTGCATTAGACATGACGAAAAGAGAGAGAGTAACGGAGAAAAAGTTGAGAAAATCATTGCTCAACAACGATGCATGCTGACCAGCAGTAACGACAGAAAGAAAGAAGCGTAAAGGACGGCCTGAAGCGGGAAATGTCGTTAGCAGTAAATCAAGGAAGCGCAATCACAGCGACGATTCGCAGCGCGCGATAGCCGGTACAGGTATCGCGTGCCCAGAGGCCTTGCATGATGCTTGGTAGAGGGCGAGAGCTGGCTTTCATGCGATATTGGACGAAATGAGCCTTGTGAGGCTTGAGTATCACGTTCCGAGACGCGTGGTGTCTGAGACGTGATAGTTCGGCTGTGGTTCAGCCGGTGGGGGCAACTATTCGCTTAGTCAGTTCTGCTGCAACATTTTGGTCGTGTTATCACAACGCGTCGACGCGAATGCACTATTCCCTTCTATAAACTCAGATGCTCATCGGTTTCTGGAAATAGAGCTTTCATCCGTAACGTCCCCGATGTTTTTCCAGCGTCTCTGGTCTCGAGGGAGTACAGCGTCTACCTCAGTCGCTTATCGAGCCTCATAGGTAGCCGACCGTACTACGAGGGTGCAGATAAGGAAAAGGGAAAGGAGAAGACTGATCTCATGGATAATAGCGAATTCTTCGTACGCGTTCCCGATCCCTTGACATGTATGGCTGTCCGATGCTGGGTACGTAGCCGAGAGCCGACCACGACATTGTTCGAGTACCTCCAGAAGCGCATTGCCGAAAACACAAAGCTAACTGTAGTCGAAATACGCGCTGATGCCGGAAAGGATAGGCAATCTTGGCGAAGTCAATCTTGGCGAAGGAAACACCCTCTTTCCACAATCGACCTCGACCCAAGAGTGATGCAGGATATCATCGACGATATTTGGCTTTTTCTTTCACAAAGACTCCCAAACTCGGTACAAAATTAGCAGTCGACCTTATCGCTATAGTCATCTTTTCGCCAGTCCACCCGGTTCCAAAGAATCGTCACTCTTAGCCGACATTGCTTCCAATATAAATGTGCCCTTCTATCTGATAGATCTACCAGGTACAGCTGACAACGACCTAAGTGCAGCTTTTAATAGAGCCCCTTTCTGGAGCTACATTGGCATTGAGGACGTTGACTGCATCGATATTGGTGTTAGCGATCGCAGTGCACAGAAGTCAAAACTACAGCCTGTACTAAAGGAATCATCAGAATGTCCTACGTTCACAAATGCTGCGCAAGTGTTTGCATTAGGGGCTCTGATGACGAAACTAATGAAGAAGCAAGCTACTGCAAATTATAAGGTTCTGGATCAAGTCGAAGCTATTAAATTGCCTACTCTTGATTGTTTGAGTGAGAGTGACGAATTCGAGGCCAATAAAGACGAGAAGAACACTGGTTCTCCAAAGAGGCGTATGACGCTTTCGGATCTACATAATGTTATTGACGGTATAGGTGCCACGGAAGGTGAAACGATCACCATGAGGATAAATCATCCTGAGAAGCTAGATTCAGCGTGGTGAGCGCACGTTCGAAATCTCGTACGCAAGCAAAGCCAGCTCCATCATGACCTTCAAGCGCCTCTTCGACAACGGCGGTTGCGAACGATACATGTCAGATGCCATCGCTCGTTTCGCTCAAGCTTTTCAGGCTTAATATCCTAGCAAGCCCCGTATCACTACTGTTGAACTCGCCAAATTTTGCGGCCAATACCGTGGGAGGCCGGATATTGCTGTTAAGGAGCTCGCCGACTGGTTACAGCGAAGCACAGATAAGTTCTCTTGTCCTGCTGACTATACCCGCTTGATCCTCGTAAATATCTGCACTACGGACCGTTGTTACAGAAGACTTCTTTGTTGGGCTCACTTCATATCCACTCGGATCTGGCACAACTGTTGCGACGACGTTTGCCACGCTCAAAGCGAGAAACATTGTGCTGGCTTTGACCTTGCAGCTCCAGCACTAGGCTTATCATCGACACAAAATATGTCAACGGGCTCTGATTTGGTCCCAGAGTTCATGGATGCTGGCTTTGGTAATGATATTGAGCCTTTGCTCAGGAACCACACATCAACTGTTGAGGCTTCATCGACCCCATCGACAGCATCTCTCTGGGACGAAACGTACCATATCCAAGCTAGCCGCATTCGCTCAATCAACTTGGTCATGTCCACAGAGCCAGGTAAGTTAGCGCTAGCGTCGCCTCACCCCAATGCTGAAGGCTTCATTCTACTCGAACAGGAGCGCAACGATTCTGGCTTCGAAGATTTTGGCGTTGACGGCTCCGATACAGACAAACTTGACACGGCTGAAGAATCGTCTGACCCACCTAGCCCCTCAGACATAACAAGTAAGCTAAAAAGTTCAAAGCGTTTGTGCAAGACATCACGGTGCTTGAAGTCGGGTCAATTCCGTACTAGGAAGGTGGAATATCATAGTAACCGGTCTCCGACAGGATCAAGAGCTTGTAGGCAACACTTGGACCTTGGCATACATGAAACCCAGCCAGGAGAGGTACTGATCACGAACCAGGTGCGTATTCATTAGTCCATTCATAATTCATAAGTGAAACAAAGTAAAATCTATTGGTATCAAAGAAATTCGTAGCAACCGTGTGGCAAAGTGTACACACGGTCTTGTGATTATTGCCATGGCTGGTTGTTATATCTCCCATACTGGTGGTCTGACGACACAGAAGAAGTACTAGTCCCTTGGGTGTCATGAGGTGCCGAATGGGCCAGAATCTCTTCTTTGCTCCCTGCCACGCTAATCTTGTCCTCGCTGTCTTCGCGCGCATGGCTCTGGACCGTGAATTCTGTTGTTTTTATAACGCTCGATGGGAACGCCTCATTGTTTGCTTTTCCCTTGCTAACGTGCACCTCCCATTGCTCATGATGATCTGTGGCGGTGGCTAGAACGGAGCGTTGATGGCTCGTTCCCTTCTTTGTTCCCTTCATGGTGCCTAGTGCCACGCCTTGGGATTGAATGGCGCCGTTACTATACGAGCTGGCACACCCACTCCTGGCGTTCCTGGTCAACTGGACGAGGCGGTTGAGAATACTGAATTCGAGTTTGAGCTTGATGCTGTATACGAGTGGTTTCCACGAGGTCTGGATCTCAAACATATCTGCAAATTCGAGGCCCAAGATGCTGAAGTCAAGGAGGATGACAAGGAAGTTGACGAACATGAGATGGTGAAGTAGGCTTTTCGTGCCAAAGTTGCCGATTGTACGTTCCATGCGGAGGAGTTTTGTGGTTTCGAAAACGTATAGGCCGGAGATGATGAGTTCCTGGGCGATGAAGACACTGAGCTGGATCTTCTCGTAGATCGCATAAGGCTTGACGAATGGGTCCGGGTTACTTGAGTTGGCGCCGTAGACCAGAACAATGATGGGTATGTGAAGCCACACTGCGTTGGTTATAATCATGATCAGAACGGCTCTGAGTTTCTTTCTGTTATGCATCACGATGTGTAATCGCGAGTAAAGCACAACCGATTGTCCAGTGATCATGGCGCACCATCCTATGAGGATGAATGTGGCGTAAATGTTCTTTTCCGGGATCTCTGCCAGGTGCATGAGCGTGTATCCGGTGGCGTTGAAGACGATACCCCATGTTGAGATGGTAAAGCTCCAAAAGTAGAGCCCGCTCCGTCTCTTGAACAAGGTAAAAATGTAGACATTAAGTTCGAGAAAGTTGTAAAGTGCTATGCTGAGAAACACCGCCGCAATGGTCTTCGATACGACGACGTTGACGGCCATTGCAGGGCAGGTGGGTGTTCGAAGGGAGGGAAAAGCAGTGTTAACGAAGCAAAGAGTGGAGTTCAAAGCGGATCTGGGGATCACCTCCACAACACTTGTTCAGCCAGGCTCGGTGTAACCGGGGTTCCGCCATGGATGTGGATGGGTAGTCTGAACCTTCCCATGTTCCCTCCCCCCCATATCAGCCGTACCGTATCTGAGCCGCATCTGCAGGGGCACCAAGGACATACCGATCCTGGTACGTGCGGACAGAGCCAGGAAATCCCTCGCAAGATCAGTCTGTTTCGCTCGGGGACAACGGAAGACATCTCATGAGACCCTCCTTTTCTTGGCGACACATCATGTTCGCCTATGTGAATACCCCTATTGGTGGGCGTGAATGCCATGCCAGCCACACTAGCTTGAATCGCAATCGAACATCGGTCCGTTCCAGCTAATCCCCAACTCACATCGAGGTTGCGATTCGCTCCTGTATCATTATCTGCTTGCCGTGCCCGCCATGTCCCAGTCCAGTTCTTGTTTCCCTGAGAAAAAAACCTTGGCTTTAGAAATCAAGCATCGTATGATCTGGGCTGTATTTCCTGGACATTATCGCCATGGATAACCAGCAAGTGAGTACAACAGGCCCTTCTCGCATTTAGATATTGCGTACTTTACATGAGGCCCGAGTGATTTCGATAACATGGTCGATGCCGCTCTAGACCACACAAGGAGGATGGGGAGTTTTCCGGATCGACCAAGAATGAGGCACATGGCTGGAGGCTTCATGCGCTTCTCCAACCCGCACCCGCAAAACGATACTCGGTTCCCGGTGTCACCTAGAATACGTCGGTTTGATCTTTTCTGCATTGACCGGCTCGCTTGCAGCGTACACGATTTTAACTTTGAAGGTACCTGCAGGTGGCATGACGGAAGCGCGGTTCACGGTTTCTAGCTTCTGGGGCGATGTGCCAAGTAAATGGCGCCTTGTTCAGGTCGTTCCGCTGGTGCCGCTGAGCGACTTGAGAGTCAGACGCGTTCTTCGTACGCTCTGAGATGCAAAAGTAGCTGCCTGTTGCGGAAAGGCATATGAGTAGCGCTGCATTGCGAGAGAACTCAAATTTCCCAGGAGGAGGCAGTGCTGTATCGCTTCGTGTTTTGCGTTGCGTCGAAGTGGCGTTTAGCAATGAAGGAGCCGAAGGCATCCTTTCCACGGGGTCCGGGGTAACGCCGACTGGTAGTCTACGGCCCTTCTTTCGGGACCCAGTGGACTTAGCTCCCCCTTATACCTGCTGGAAGCCCAACATCACGTGCACCTTTCGCGAACTACCTTGCGTATTCGTGTTCAACACCCGGTGGCTTTAGACAAATATTTAGTAGACGCCACCATGTAACAGCGGCCTGCAAGACACTAGGTATGGTATAGCTTCGGCACCGCGTACCTGACAAGAGAAGGCGTGTTGTCTTGGAATCCTCTTGGGCATCACTATCACTGCAGGATTTACATGGTTCTCAAGTCTAGAGCTCTGGCATTTCAAATTACATTACTTGTCTAATTGTGCAGTGCAACACATTATGGTATAAGCTCAGTAATTAACTAAGCAGCGACGTTGGAAGTTCCATTGATCACTGAATAGGTGCGCCAGACGCGGCCACAGTGGCGTAGAACAGCTTGGTCTGTCCGGTAATGACCATGCGTCCCTCTCCCGCGAACTTGAAGTTAGCCGCTGTCACGCCAGTGTAGATCTTGCCGATGAGCTTGCCAGAAGGGTTGTAGACCCATACACCGTCACCGGCACCAGCGTAAACGCGACCCTTGGAATCAGTGTGTACACCTATCAGAACTCGTTAGCGACTGCATTCAACAGTTAATGTCCGCGTCCAAGAACATACCATCAGGGATAAAAGCGGGGACGTAAGCGAAGGTCTTGCGGTTGTCGAAGGTGCCGTCCTCGCAGACATCGTATGAGTAGATCGACGCAGGAGCAGTCAGGTTAAGACCGTAGAATCCGCCTACAACACCAGTATCGGAGACATAGGCCTTCTTGCCATCAGGCGAGATAGTGATTCCGTTGGGGTGGCCGAAACCATCGGCGACAACGGTCAGCGCACCAGTGTCGAAGTTGTAGCGGTACACTTGCTCTCGCATACCGGGGTAAGGACGGAAGTCCTGGAGGTATCCGTAAAGAGTGTCGGTGAAGTACAAATCACCGTTGGTTGGGTTAACGACCAAGTCGTTGAGCGAGCTGAACTGGCGACCAAAGTAGTTGTTCACAAGAGCTGTGATGATCAGTATCGTGTTGCACTCTCGAATTACATTTGAGATGCTTACTGGTCGTGTTGTATGGTGGCAGAGGGTTCATAACATACAACGCGGATGGCACGTTGTCACCCTGGCCCTCACCAGCGAAGATAATGTTGCCCTTCCAGTTAGTGCCACCATTGGGGTTGATAACCTGTGGGTTGGAGGTGTTGACCACAGTCACGGGGACTGCCTCGAGGGTTCCATTCCTCACTTTCTCGGCATCCGAAAGTTTGATCTTCTGGATAATGGAAGACTTGTTCAGTCCTGTGCCCGCAGCAGGAGCACCAGCATTCTGAACGAAGAAAACTTCCTCAGTTGCAGGGTACCAGGTGACAGCCTCATGGAAGATGGGGTCCGATTCTGAGGTTGCAATGGTGGTCAACGAAGGGCTGTCACCAATGACATCGTAGAATTCCTCATCATAGATGTGGAAGGGCTTGGCTGATAGAGACTCTTCGGTTACACCGGGCCAAATAAACAGCTATAGCACTGTTAGATATCCCAAGTCGGATGGAGCTGCTCGAGATGGAAAACATACCGTTGAAGCATTAGCTCCGGAAGGCGGTGGGACATTTGGCAGAACATTGAAGCTCTTCTGGTCGACGATCTGCGCAGACTCGGGTACAGTCTGCGCGAAAGCACAGCTGACTGCTGCACTAGCAGCCAGGAAGACGGTGGTAGATGGCATCTTGAATTGAGTTTGACCGACTGTAACTCTCCAAACTCTGGGGACAGCCACAGTATAAGAAGTACACGGTTTCTGCACGGATAATCTCTTCACCGTTTGTCTCTAGGCCTGTTGAAAATTAGATTATCTCGGCATGTATCCATATAGCGGTATTTTCGTCATCATGCGGCTCGCTGTCGACTACATTCGGCATGGCATCATGGAAGAGGGCCGATGGCGCTCAATCAGTCAAGGATTAGAAAGGCCGGTGATGAGGCTAGGCGCAATGACCCCGTGGGGTTGGGGATATCGCGACCCCGCCTTGAAGTCGCACATTGAACTCCAATTCCATCCGTAGAGTAACGTTTCGACTACCAATATGGTGCGTTCGCGCCATAACACCTCATTCAATAAGGAACGCTGTTCTCGCGCAGATTGTAGGCTAAACAGGGCGTAGGATACTTTGTATGCAGCTTACCATATGTTCCTTGCTTCCCGGTGCGCACCAAGCCGCGGTGCCTTCTTGGCGCGACAGTTTGGCCGGACCGGCTAGGGTATCTCGAGCCGTTTCCGTTGCCGGTATTCTTTGAACAATGCACCGGAAGGCTAGATTCATCTCTTCGTGTTCGAACCCGGGGACGGAGATGCATTGCCGGATGGGGTTGCTGCAGGAATGGCATTCCTGGGTCCCATGCCCATGTCCTGCACATATATTAAAAAGCTTAGCTTATACCTGTCGATAATTGAGAACCATACCTGCGGGTTCTAATCGACTGATCATATGCAAGTCTGGCACCAGAACTGAACACAGTCGAGATGCAAGTGCATACCTAGTGTCAGTGTCTTGTCCCAAATTTGCTTCCAACCGTTCAATGCGAATTATCATTCCATCTTACACCTCAAGGCTAGGTCTACCTGCAAAAGCCTGCGTTCATACGCGACTATACCTAAGGTTTAGTATATCCGCTTCATACAGAAGCGTGTTGGCAATGGCAGCTGCTTATGAGGGTGGCTTCATTCTGTTAGTTGATAGCAGTAGCGCCTGATCGCACGGTCCGAAAACCATACAACCATATCAGCATACATACGGCACATCACACGCGTGGCAAGCAAAAGACTTTAAAAATGGGTCATGAAGATCGTGAGTGATATTGCTCTTTGAACATTAACCCCGATGTCCACCTTCCAACCGTCCCACCAACCACCGCCATAACCCACCCAGCCATCTCAACTCCAACCTCCTACGTTGATACAGTAAAAAGCCGTACCAGTCATTCAATGATGCACAAAAACAAAGAAGAAAGAAAAACGCCAATCCCCATTCGCGCTGTTTTCCAGCTGCGAAGGTATCCTCGTGGGGGGATGCATATGCAACGCAGAGAACTCCAAGTATAATAGCCAAACCCAAAACCCGCCAAGAGGGGGACAACCCAGTGCCCCAAGATATCATGGCCGTAACGTTCAGAAGCTCGTAATAACAGTGATGAAGAACAAAGGGAAAGGTACAAAGGAAACAAAGACAAAAACAGGCGACTCGTGATACAGTGAGTCGTTAAAGCATCAGAAGTGCTTTTTGCCCTTTTTCCGATCTCAAAACGCCAGATCGTGGAAATAGTGTTACAAGGGTGGTGATGTTGATGATGTCGAGGTACAACAGTATCGCAAGACATTCAGAAGATGGCTGCAGATGCACGTCGTAACCAAGACGGTGTTTGTGTGGAGTAAACGGAGCGGAGTTGAACAAGAAAACGATATTGGATGAGCGCTTAGCTCATGTCCATCATGTCTTCGAAGACACTGTCCTGGTGATCACCAGTGTAAGTGGCAAGAACTTCGTCGCTGGGCCCGAAGTTGCCCTCATAGATGGTGGCACCAGCTCGGCGTCTTGACTCGACCCATCGGCAACCGTAACATTGGAGCACTTGCTCCGCAGTTGGTCGCATTTCGGGGTCTCGGTTCAGCATGGCGTAGACGACGTGGTCCATAGAGTTGGGGTCGTTGCGCTGCACCATGAATGAAGGCGCGCGAGCCAGCTCCTCTTCGGGGTTAGAGGCCGGCTTGACCATAATGGAGGCCATCGAGTCTTCAGCAGCATCCGACATGAGGAAGCCGTCCATGGAAGGCCTTGCCTGTTCAGAGACAGGGTCGCCATGGACGTCGCGACTGAGGGTGCTGCTGTCGGCGCTCCAAGTAAGGCTGGGGAGTACGCTCTCAAACTCGCCAGATCGTAGCTTTTGCCAGTAGTCGCCATTCTCGGGGATAACGCAATTGCCAGCAATTTCAGCGAGCATCATGCCAAGTGCAAAGACATCGGCAGGCTTGTCGAATCGGCCGGAGAGTTGCTCGGGTGCGAGATAATGACGGTCGCCTTCGCCATCGATACCAGCTGGAGCTGGCCACTGACTCGCTAGACCAAAGTCTGCGATCTTGAGTCCACCCTCAAAGTCGATGAGGATGTTGGCGGGCTTAAGGTCAAGATGAATATAGCCAGCGTCGTGAATGGCCTTGAGACCCTGCAATAGGATTAGCGGTGTGTTGCGAACAAAGACTATATTTAGACATACCATGGAAAGCTCGAGCAGGATCTTCCAGATGCGGAAGTCATCGAGACGGCTATTAAAGCCAACGGTGTCGAGGTATTTCCTCAAGTTACCGCCCTCACAATACTCAGTCTGGATGTATAGGTGCTGGTCAAACTCCCAGTGGGTTTTGATGTCCAACACATGCTCGTGGCCTTGAAGAGCGTAGAGGATATCGACCTCACGCATCTTCTTCTGGCGGTCGCCTGCACCAATGTACGGCTTCTTCGACTTCTTTACAACCCATACCTGGTTGCCAGCGGGTGACCTTAGCGGCGAGATCTTGACCGGCTGGCTCACACGGTAGACTGTAGAAAACTCGCCCTCTCCGCCATCAAGAGGCTTGATCTCGTGGAACCTTTCACTCAAGGATTCATCCACGTCGTTCTTTGTTAGGCCGATGGGAATTGCGCCCTGGACACTACCGAAGAAGCCGGAGTCACGTGGTGTTGTCGGTGTGGCAGGCGCGAAAGAGCCAAAGCTGCTGTTGAAAGGGAAAGATCCCCGTCTGTTGCCGGAGATTGATAGCTTGCTCGCGTCGGGGGGAGCGGAAGATTCGTGCGCGGGGGTATGTGGTGATGGCGCGCCAAAGAGACTTCCAGCTGCTGTAGAATGTTTAGTGTTGCTCTCGCTATTCAGTGACTGAAGAGGTGTACGGGCAACCCGCCGCGAAAATGACAGAGGGTGAGCCACAGCATTGGTTTGCCGCAACAGCCGACTTTGATTCGCGCTGAGAGCATGTGCAGAAGGGGACTTGTTAACCGTTGACTTGGACTCCTCGTCTTCTGACGAGCTGTCTTCATCCGGAAAATCAACTAGATCTGTATGAGATATGTACTTACTCGTCGGCCGACCGTCATTGTCGGGTACTGCAAATGTATCTTGGCCAATAGAAGGGCGCGAGCGGAACGTCTTACGGCGCAGGCTGCTCTCCTTGGAACGACGACTAGATCCATTACTAGGTTTGGTTGGGGTAGGTGGTGTGTCATCCGCACTCAATTGACTGTCACCCATCCGGTTCGCCGTCGGTGATTGTGTGTCCGGCTGGGCATCTTCGTCATTGTCTCCGTCGATACTTACAAAGCTGCCTCGGCGTTGCATGGTACTGCCCATGCCACCGAAGATGCTTGGTCGCTTACCGAATGAGTCTGTTGTGAACTTTGACACATTTGATACACTCGCACTGAATGGCGTGCTAGGCGTACCAAACTGATGCTGTGGTCGAGATTCATTGCCGAAGAGACTGCCACTCCTCTTGACCAAGGGTGTGTCAATGTTGACTGTGCGGTCTCCTGAAGCTGGAGGGAACGACTGGCGCTTCGATGGCGTGTCGGGCATGACATAGACGCCACCTGCTGCTGGCTCGTCGGCATTACGGTTCTTCTTGGACAAGAGGCCAGTAGAGAAGGCGACAGGTGCCGCCGGCGCAATCTTAAAAGGTGTGTCGAATGAGTCCTGCGACGATTGCTCACCGTCTGGTGCAAACGGGCGTCCGATACCGATCGGTAGTGAGCGAGAGAAATGTGGGTTAGAGGACATCGGAGGCGGGGGGAATGCAGGGCCACCCCATTGAACGGCTGGAGCTCGGGGAGGGGCCATTGGTGTGCCGTGTACGCTTGAGGAAGCAGATGCTGGTGTATGCGCATGTGATAGTGGGTGAGGTTGTGCTCCACCACGAGGGAATGGTGTTGGCAGACCCATGCGCCCGGCGTCGAATGTGGATTTGCGGAAAGGCGTCTGCATGGGTGGGGTTTGTATCGATTGGTTCACGGTGCTATCCAGCGACATGCGGTTGCGAGTCTTGGAGGCAGCCGGTCCAGGCATAGCGAACTCACCGTCGTGGCTTGGCTTGCGCGGAGTGTTGGAGCGCTGCGACAGTGTCGACCTCCGCAATGAGGTTGTCCGACGGACGGGCGATGTCGCGCCAGAGATAGGTGAGCTGTTGAAACAAAAGCCGTTGGTCATGTCGTTGAACGGGCGCGAGCTCTCATCAGCAGAGATGCGCGGTGCGGGGGTTGGGTCGAATATGCTCTCGAAGTCGTTTCCGAGGCTCGAGACGCCATGCAGACTCCGGCGCTTCGCCATAGGGCTGCTGCCGGGAGATCCGCTGAGATTCATAAGTCCGTCGTTGCGCTTGAGTGGGCTTGACTTTGCGGGAGGCGCGGGCGACAATTCGGGGCGACGCGCAAACTCGAACTTGATGGGTTTGTCGTCTACTTCAAGACGCTTGTCCATGTCCATGGTGTCCGGGGACTCTGCGCTCGGTCGTCGCGCGGGGGTGTTTTCTTGGCCGGGTGAATGTCGCGTAATGAAGGGCGTCGCGTTGCCAACGTCGGTAGACTCGGCTAAGGCGCGTCGACGCGGGCTCTTGGAGTTGCTGTTGCGCGTGCGCGGTGATGACCGGAAGGGGCCTGAGCGTCGCAAGGAGAACTTCTTCTTGTTGGCTGGGGCGGCTTGCGCCAGTGGTGACTCAGGGAAATCCGCGAGAGGGCTTGTGACCTTGAGCGCCTTGGGAGAGAATGCGCGCGCAATGGCGAGGGGAGAGATGGGGGAGCGGGGCGTGTCGGAGTTGCGGAGTTGGAAACGCGACTGTTTTGATGGTGAGCGCGAGAGAGAGCGTCGGAGCTCCTGGAGATGGGAGAAGTGGGTGCTGTCGAGGCGATAGCTGTGGGGTCCGGTTGGTGAGGGAAAGTGCATGGTGCCACATTCGCGACTGGGCGAATATCCGTAATCCATGGTTCGCGTAATGAGAGCGTCTCAATGCAGACTTTTGCCAGTGATGGAGGCGTCTGAAGTGAGTCGGGGTGTTTTGGTATGAGACTGTGCAGGCGGCGGGCAGTAATGTCTCCCGTGACGTGTTGTCGTGTTTTAGGCAGGTGCAGAGGGCATGGAGATGTTTGCAGTCTTGAATCGATAGCTGTAGCGCGATGCTGGTGCTGGTGCTGTTGGTAGTGCGTGTTGGCACCTGGGTGGTATGAATGCGTGCAATGTTGTCGGCAGGCGCGCGATGGCGTGGGGCGCGATGGTGACGATGTTGGCCAAGTTCCGTGATTCCACCTTCAACAAGCAACGGCCGAGGTCGTTAGGTGCTCCATACAAGGCCTGGTGATGGAGGGTCCTGGTGGAGAAAGGATGGCTGGAGGGTGGAGAGAGCGTGGTTGGTGTTGTCGGCGTGGCCTAGGGTGATTTGCTGTATAGTGTACTGGGGAAGCGAAGGCGCAATGCGCGCGTGTTTACCTCCGCACGGCAGGCAAGTATAGTCGGGAACACGGCAGGCGCGACAACAACTTGATGATGCAATGACGAGGAGAGAGTGAGAGCGATCGAGCGATGAGGAGACCCTTCTTGCGCTCGATAGCGATCGGCTGGGAATGCTGTGGTATATGGGAGAAGACGCGTTCTCGCAGGGTGCCTTGTGCCTTTTCGCCCGTGTGGCAGGAGGACACGGGGCCCGTGCCCCCAACCCACCCATTTACCTCGTAACGCCCTGCAGCGCGAAGCCCGTTAGCCCTGCCTACCAATAGAATGCAGACCACGAAGACAAAGTGAAGCAGTCATACAATGGTACGAAATGGTCTCTACGATTAATAGACACGTAACGCTCCACCTCTGCCAGACCGCTGCACTTGCAATGCAGTGCGAGGCGCTGCTGCGGAGCCTTTGCCACGTTGAAGTTTGCATGTTTACACTCCGTGTTTGTTGATCAACAACAACAACGCAAAAATCAAAACAACACGGAATCCTCGCCACCATCACACAACTCCCCAACCACAGTATCGGCACTATGGCGCTCGAACCACAGGCCGATCCCATCTCCCAGGCTCTCTCCATGCCCAAATTAGCAAATCTTATCGTCTTCATGCCATCGGGTGGCCGAGTCACGCGAAATAGGGGCTCCAGCTTTGCACGTCCGCCTGCCACCAGTTCGGCGGCCCGCGTCTCAATCTTAGCTTTCCCCATTATGATTGACGAGTCTGCAGCTGGCCTGCAGCCTCCTATCGATTGTCTGCATCTTCGCCTATCTAGCTATCGATAGGCTTCGCGACTCGTGAAAAACGTCCTCTCCATATTCCTTTCCCTGCAGTAAGCTGTGATATGCCCACGCCATATTTCCCGGCGTCGTCATCGGCCACTTCTCAGCTGAACATGATTATTGCCCAAGACGCGTCTTCGCGTTGTTGACGCACAACTCAGCCGTACCACCGGATCCCCCTCTCGACATTTCAACTTGTCCGATCGCACGGCTTCCTGCGATCGAGGGTTGTTCCAATGATGCTTCGCCTGCATTTAGCCATCCGTCCATCCCATGGCGCCGGGATCGAAGATGGGTGGTTACACATGACGTAGCCTCCTTGATCTCTCCCCCAGCTCTCGATGTCAGAGCCACTCCGTGAACGTAGAGCGGCTAAGCTATCGATATGATACACGCTAGAAGCTCACAAGGCTGCAGATAGCTGGGTCCCGGAGGCGGACCGTATGCCGCTCGATAGTCTTCTTCAAACAGCGTGCTCACGAGGCCTTGTTTGAGGCCAGACTTCGAGATGGTTGCATCAACTGACTACTAACTCTCCGGGAAGGTGCGGCTACAGATCGTACCTGCTTGATCGATCAAACGCAAAAGCACGTCGGCAGTCAAGCGCCCTCGAGCTGTCACGCGTGGAGATCATCGCGTCATGGGGAAAAAACAACGGTCTGATACCCCGAATCTGCCTCATGTGGCCGCTTCTGCGACCTCAATAATATTGGTACTAGAATTATCCCCGCTAGTCTACCGTCCAACGTCGGATACTGCAGGTACGCGCTTCCATCGCCATGTTTTCCTGTTTCATCATCGGCGTACCTGCTTTAGCCTATCGTGCGCTTCCATATTTCTCTACACCCATCCATCGTCACTATGATGGCACATTCCGACATCGGAAAGACCCGATCACTTTGCGACGAGCAGCAAGCTCCAAGAGTGTTGTCTAAGGCATGGACCCGAGTATTTCCGGATATGCAATGCGCTGCAGTTTTACCGGTCCCGAGCAGAAGCGACATTGCATCTAAAATGATCAATACGAGTTTGTTCTGAGTTCCAAATCAGGAACGCGCCATGAGCGCACGGCGACGTATAGTGCAGCTACATGCACAGGTCAGCCTTAACCGCACTTGCAGCGGGCACCAGCCTCATGATACCCCAAGTTTGATGTTTCAACGCGTGTTTCAGAACACAACTTCGAATTTCCTAATATTGTCACGGCCATACGGCTTGTCGCCCAATCCAATCACTATGGTAACATTTGCTGGATTGTTCGCCCAGTTCGGATTTCCGTGGTAACTATTCCTAGATGTTTTACTAGGCTTGATGATATCGTGGGTAGATGATGTGGCTTTTCAACAGGAGAGCGTTAGGGCCTATTTCATGACCGTGGTTATGGAAGTGAAGGCCAAAATGGGTAGAAGAATTGCGTGGAAACCCCGCACAATCAAGGTATTACCCAGGGTCTCAGCGATCGAAATCCACAAGGCGTACGCGCCAAGAAGGAAGAGATGGGGTATCTGTCGGTTATGGGTCGGATATTACTGCGCAATAGACGCCCAACACAGACAGCTGTCAAAAGTGACGAACATCCAGGGACCTCCCGTGACATCGCCTTAAAGATCCACAGGGTCCGGAGATGATCTGTTCCCACTGTTCATCCCGTCGCTAAGGTGATGCAAGATCTGCTGCCGTAGATGCCCAATGCTGCGCGTCTTCGTATTGCGCATATTGAGGCCACTAGGTGATCCTTGGATGCTATATCCAGGCATGACCATGTGGGTCTATTCCTCATTTCGATTGATTTGGGTAGAGTCAGGAGAATGACGAAATTTCTACACGAACTTCTTTCGTTGAGTCAGGCAAGAAGTACATTGACGATGCAAAAGCTTTTTGTTGTTGCGTTATAGGATGTAGCCCACGTCAACTCGGAACGTGATGCAGACAAGGACCGAGGCGTTGTTGCAGAGTCCATTGGATCTGTCGTGGCTAGATGAGAATTACAATCTTTCCATCTCTGTGATCGAAAGGGCTCTGTCATGTCAAGCCTCGATCGCATGCGGGGTACGCATGATGAATCGATACAATCATAGTGCCAGAGACACTACATCTACCAAATCTGGCAGCGATATGGAATAAGTGCTCAATATGTTTACAATGAATAGAGAAGAAAACCGATGTGGCATGAAGCATGAGTCCTAGAAGCCGGATGGAAAAACTTTGTTCCCGTGGCTTGCAGTCGATGCGAAGGCGGGGTGAGTCAAATCGAAAAGTTTGGCGGGGCATTGTATCTCGTCGCGCAGCCCACACGAGCAACACCCGAACATCGCAACAATGGCTGACGAACAACCCGCAACACAGCCACCGGCTGCCGAGGCCAAGGACTTGCACACTGACCCCGTCACTGGCGAGAAGATCTCCAAGAGTGAACTGAAGCGTCGCCAGAAGCAGCGTGAGAAGGACGAGAAGAAGAAGGAGAAGGCGGCCGCGCTCCCGGTGCAAACCAAGAAGGAGAAGAAGGACGATGTCGAAGAATTGAACCCAAACGTACGTCTTCAACCCTGAAATTCCTGTCGATCCAATTACTCACAAACTACAGCAATACTTCGAAATCCGATCCAACAAGATTAACGCACTTCGTGCCTCTAAGCAACCGAACCCGTACCCGCACAAGTTCCACACCAACTACAAGCTCCCCGACTATGTTCGCGACTACTCGCACCTCAAGAAGGGAGAGACCGAGCCCGACAAGGAGATTCGCATTGGTCTCCGCGTCATGACACAGCGCTCTGCCTCCAACGCGCTGCACTTCTATGTTTGTACGTACACAGCACACAATAATGCCTTCAACGGCTAACAGTCTACAGGCCAGGCTGAGGGTACCAAGATCCAGGTCATGTGTCAATTACAGGAAGCCAAGGCCGACGTACCTTTTGAGAAGCAACATGAGAACATCCAGCGTGGAGACATCATCGGTGTCATCGGCTTCCCAGGTCGCACAAGTCCCAAGAAGGGTGGTGAAGGCGAGCTGAGTATCTTCGCGCGCGAAGTGATCCTCCTTACTCCCTGCCTGAGGATGTTGCCAACGGAGCACTTGTGAGTTCGGTCGTAGACTCAGGTGAACATAGTACTGATACTGTGATAGTGGTTTCAAGGACCAGGAGCAACGCCACCGCAACCGATTCCTCGATCTCATCATGAACGACTCAACACGCAACACCTTCATCACTCGCTCCAAGATCATCAAGGCCGTTCGCAAGTATCTCGATGAACGAGACTTCCTGGAAGTGCAGACACCTATGATGAACAAGATTGCTGGTGGTGCGACTGCACGACCCTTCAAGACATACCACAACGAACTCGACATGGAGCTTTACATGCGTATCGCGCCCGAGCTTTACCTCAAGGAGCTCGTAGTAGGAGGTCTTGAGAGGGTATACGAGATTGGGCGTCAATTCCGTAACGAGGGTATCGATCTCACCCACAACCCTGAGTTCACCACTTGCGAATTCTATATGGCCTACGCTGACTACAACGACGTCTTGAACATGACCGAAGAGCTCGTCAGTGAGTTAGTCAAGGAGGTCACTGGCAGCTACGAGACGGTCTACCATACCCAGGACGGCGAGATCTACAATGTCAACTGGGCAAGGCCATGGAGGCGAGTCGAAATGATACCCGCATTGGAAGAGGCGACTGGTGAGAAGTTCCCACCAGCGGACCAGCTACACACTGCCGAGACCAACGAGTTCCTCAAGAAGGTGCTCAAGAAGGTCAACGTCGACTGCTCAGAGCCTCGCACCAACTCAAGAATGATCGACAAGTTGGTTGGTGAGTTCATCGAGGAGACTGCTATTAACCCTACATTCATCATCGGTCACCCCGAGGTCATGTCACCACTCGCCAAATACCACCGCGATACCCCTGGTCTCTGCGAGCGTTTTGAGGCATTTGTGTGCAAGAAGGAGATCTGCAACGCCTACACTGAGTTGAACGATCCATTTGACCAACGTCTGCGATTCGTAAGTTCGAGGCAGGTACGTTGATAATATGAATACTTACGGTTATACAGGAAGAGCAAGCGAACCAGAAGGCTGCTGGTGATGATGAAGCACAACTCATTGACGAGACATTCTGTCAGTCGCTCGAATACGGTCTGCCGCCCACTGGTGGCTGGGGTATGGGTATCGACCGTCTAGTCATGTTCTTGACAGACCACTATTCCATTAAGGAGGTGCTCACCTTCCCCTTCATGAAGGACATCGTTGAGGTCAAGAAGCCCGCCGCGGAGGTTGTCGACGTAACCCCCAAGCCCACTGAGGGCATTCGTAAGTACATAAAGCTTTGAAGTTGTCCACAGCTTGCTAATGTGATGCAGCACACAAGTAGATTCAAAGTAGCATTACCGGCGTATGGGATGGTTAGGACATGGGTACGGATCATGAGGCACGTTTCAAGAACGATTTAGCCAAGATAAATGAAGATGAAGACATGAACGACTCTGCAAGAACATATAAAGCTCTTTTTCTCTGAATCGTCCCGAATATCTTCACGGTCAACTTCAAACGCACACACTACCAGCGTGTTATCCTGCAAGTGCCTTAAGAAAAGTCCGCGGTAGATTCCTTTGGAATACTCACTGGTGCGAAATGCATCTTATCATTTTGATGCCTCTTCGTCAATTCATAGATGGTTCGCGTACCAGATTCGCTATCACATCATCTCTATGACACGATCTACCGTCACTCATGGTGCTCTTAGACAAGACATCGCATTGTTTGTATAAAATCGCGCTCTAATCCAGTTACTGTACAATTTGAAGATATCGCGAGTTCTCCTCCAACGAACGCTGGCGCAATCGCGTACTGTATAAAGATAATGGGCTTGAGGTTTCGGCTCCCCGCTCACGGACCATGGCGTTTTATCCCCGAACGGCGGTGGACCGCACCATTGCCGCAACATTGTTGCCGCGAGAACTTGTGCCGAACGGGAGGCCTATGAATAGATTTAGAGATTATATATGAGACTTGAAGATCTGTTGCTGAGGCCTAAGTTTGTGTTTTCAATTTAGCCGTTCATCTCTAGTCAAGATCTTACTATGATTTAGGATACACATTTCGCCAAAGAAAGGAGACAAATACATACTATAACGAGAGAAGACTGATTCAAGCATGGCAGCACCAGGGGGGAACTTCTTTATCCAAGAGAAGCTGAAGACTCCGGCAAAGCATCATGAGTCTTACGAACAGCTTTGGGAGACGAAGTGGAAAAAGCCTGTATGTTCATCACTTGTCACTCAATAACATAGATGCGACAGCTGCAACCATGTTGAATTACGTTTATTGATACATCGCAGGCAGAGATGGGCGTCTACCCCTTCATGTTCGGCACAGCTTCCGATTTCGAGCCGATATTAAAAGAGATGAAATCCAGAGATATGAAAGAGCCCTATAACTGGGACGAATATGCCAAAATCTACTTCCCGCAAGCCGAGAAGCTCAAATCTATAGCCGAAGAGGCTGAGAAGAACGGCGAGAAAGAGAAGGCATCAGAATACTACCTCCGTTCCAGCGCCGTTTACCGCATCAGCCGCTTCCCTGCGCCACGCAGCGATGTTCAACGCGAAGCATGGAAACTAGGCAAAGAAGTCTGCATCAAGGGCCTAGGAATGCGTCCGCACCCCGTGCACGAAGTCATGATCCCACATCAACATCGCAACCAAGACGAAGGAGAACACATACCCGTTTACCACCTCGTCCCCGAAGGCGCCTCGAAAGAAAACCCGGTACCCACCGTCATCATTTTCACTGGCCTCGACGGCTATCGCACAGAGCTGGCCGTCTGGATGGAAGGCTGGCGTCGCGTAGGCGTAGCCACTATTGTTCTGGAGATACCCGGTACTGGAGACTGTCCCGCTACCGCATCGGACCCCACATCCCCAGACCGTCTCTACAGCTCACTGTTCGACTGGATAGCCACACAAGAGCGTCTTGATGCAAAGAAAGTTGCCATCTGGGCTTTCAGCACCGGCGGCTACTACGCTATCCGCGTCGCTCACACACACGCAGATCGTCTGGCAGGCGTCGTAGCATTAGGAGGAGGCTGCCACTACATGTTTGAGCGCGAATGGCTCGACAATGTAAATCACCTCGAGTACCCCTTTGATCTTGCCAACACACTCGCATACAAATGGGGTTACGGAAACGACGTCGAAGCCTTCAAAAAGGAAGCCATGAACAAGTTCTCGTTGCTAAACGACGGCACGTTGGATAAGCAAACATGTTCGAGATTGCTGTTGGTGAATGGAACTGAGGATGAGATCTTCCCAATTGACGATTATTATCTTGCGTTGCAACATGGTGTGCCCAAGGAAGCGAGGTTTATAACGGGCATCAAGCATATGGGGGAGCCAGAGAGCTTCTTTGTTATCATCAAGTGGCTGTATAGGTTGTTTGGTATTGAGGCCGAAGTTGGGGCACAGATGTCGACGTTGCCCTTTAAGCCAAAGTACTAAAGGGAAGAGTGAGATGTGCAAAGAGGATGAGTGCAGATAAGTAATGTAGTATAAGATAGCGAGCGGAATTGAGACTAGGTCCTCCAAGATCCATGTTCTTTACTCTTCCTGTTGTGACACCATGACAGGATAGCTTGCTCAGTGTTGCTATCTTGCGTTCATTCTCTGTGTTCACAATAGTCCTATACTTTCTTGTTGGTTCAAATGCTTTCTCTCTTGTTACGGTTGTTCTACACTTGCATCTCATATATCGCATGGCTGCTCACATACGCGCATGCTCTGCAGATGTCAGCCGCTCCAATGCCCTCACATACTTTTCCAGAGAAGAATGCACTTATGCTCAATCGATAACAAGTCACAAATTGGGTCACAATACTTGCGAGCAGAAAGTTGATAAGGTAACGCAAGTTCCATTAGAAATTATCTACGTCACATCCCGATCCCTCTGCTCGACTCGATCCAACATAAGCGTACATCAAACACAATCAATTCGTCGTGCAAGGAAAATTCAAGCTTGAATCTAAAGCGAAGGGTATTGCGGCAGGCGCGCATATATGCCGCGGCATCGCCAGAGAGACATGGAACAAAAAGAGAAACTGGTATCATTGTTCTTTCCGAAAAGCCCTGCCTGCATCACGCAAGCCGCCAGCTGAAGGGGAGAGAAAGGAAAAGGAAAACAGCCAAGTACAGCACAGTGTGTATATTGGAAAAGAGAAATTGATATGTTCGTGGGTCATGCTCAAAGATGAAACAGTGATAGTGGATGTGTAGTGGAACGATGACAAGCCAACAATCTGTTCGGAATACGAGCAAAAGATGCAAAGGAAACGCGCGATCGGTTCGATGCTGTACATGACGAGTGTTCCAGCCTATGGCTCTTCACATGAGTAGTGGGAGCCATAGGACTGTCTTGGTGTCTTCTCAAGACTCTACAAACGCGAATTAGCCACCAGCTAAACTCGCTCAGTCATTCAGCCCAAAGACCCGCCTTAGACCTTGGAACTTCTTCTTCTTTCCGCTTCGGCCGTAGGAGACGGAACGGCCTTGGGCGTCAACAATGGGCGCCGAAACATTGGAGATAGCGCTAGACTGTCGGTTGGCGAAGCGCGGTCTGCGGGCCGTGACACCATCTGAACTCATTGGACGGTCGTCAGTGCCAATGACAGGTGGAGGTTGAAGTGGCCATTCGGGAGTCTTTCTACGTTGTAGTTTAGGCGATCGAGGAGAGGTGGGTCTTGGGTCGCCGAATTCTTTGTCCTCGTCGATGGGCGTCATTGGATGCCCCAGATCGCGGTTGCGTTGTGTGGGTGGCAAAGGAATCTCATCAGACGCTGGAGCGTGGTGCGCTGGCTCGGACTGCGCCTGAACGGCTTGTGGCAGAGCATTAGTCTTCTTCTTTCCTAGGCCGAAGAAACCACGCTTCGACTTGCTCTTGCCAGCATCTCCAAACGAGGGCAAAGGCGCATGCTTGCTGTCACGCAAAGAGCCGGCGGAGAGGGCTGCGCCTTGTGCGCCCGAGTTACCGTTTGCGCCATTCGTCACTGGTGTAGCTTTAGGGACAACGTTTGTGGTTTCATCATCCGCTTCTTCCTCTAGATCGGTAGAGTCGCCATCCTCTTCGCCCGCTTTTCTAGGAATCCCTCGTACTGGCGCCAAACCTGGAGGCAGGGTGTAATCAGCAGGCTCATCATCGTCCGAGTCGTCAAATCGACTTTGGAAACGAGACGGTCGAGCGTCGTCTTCTTCGTCGCTTGAATCGGCGAAACGACTCTTGAACGCAGCTTTCGAAGCCTTGACAGGTGGTGCCTTTTGTTTCGGCGCTTTAGACGGTTTAGGCGGCAGTGTCTGCTTGTTGAAGACGGGCATTGGCGGTGTAGGCGACGAAGGACGAACATCAGATCCTCTGCGGAATCTTCCCATTGGCGACAATGATCGAATGCTAAACTTCGATGACTTTACTGGTTCTGGCGTTGGCGAAGAAGGCCGCATAGATCTTCGCATGGCGGACGGTGTGGCTGGTGGAGAAATTGCCCGGACTTGCTTAGGTGCCGGAGCACTTGCTCGCATAGTGGGTGCAGGTTCTTGTCTCATTGAGCCGCGCATTGTATAGCGCCCACCTTGTTCCCGTCCTCCGCGCTTTCTGGCGCGTTCGCGTTGGAAACTGCTTACAGAAGCATCAGAGTCACTGTCGTATGTAGGTGCTGGTGCAGCCATCGGTTTCGCCGCAGGCATGCTCTGTGGTCTACCCTTGGAGACAGCAGCAGCAGGCGGGATGTTTCTCTTTTGGAGAGCACCTCGCGGAGGTTTGGTGTCCATAGGTACCATACTGTGTCGCGACGCTGCTAGACCCATGCTTGGTGCCGGTGAGGCATCCGCTGAACGCATACTTTGTCGCATCTGGGGCTGCGCTCTAGGAGTCGCGTCTGAGGGTCCCCGCATGCTCGTCCGCATAGTCGATCCCATCTGCGGTCCTGCTCGCGAAGCCGGATCTGAACCTCCTCGCATAGTTCGCTTCATATGAGTCTCAGAGGCACCTTCCCTCGGCGCTGCCGTCCGCAGGTTCGTCCTAGCTTGTGATTCAACTGGCCGCGTCGGCTGTGGTGCAGGGCTCTTCTTCAAAGCAGACTTGAGAGGTTTTGCCGGAGACTGATCAGCTGATGGAGTAGTAGTCCGTGGAGGTGGTATGGCTGTGACCTTGCGCTCTGGTGTTGCATCTGGTGTATACTCGCGTGAGGAAGATGGTGCTGGCATCTCTTTTGAGACTGGAGCCTGCATGACTCGAGAAATTACTTCCTGAGCATGTGAAGCTCGTTCGGGAGGTGCTTGAGTCTGCTCTAGCTCTGGGTTTGGCTTCTTTAAAGACGCGTTGAGACCA